TTTTTTTTTTTTTTTTTTTTTTTTTTTTAATTATCACAGTGAAAACCACTGGGAGCAGGCCCTGGTGTTCTGCTGCCACAGAGTGGAGCTATGACCCTACCGGGGGCCAAAAAGCCACGATTGGGCTGGAGAGCTGGGAAGGAGGGACAGAGGGGTGTGGGAGCAGAGGGCAGGGAACAGGAAGCCTGGGGCCCTGGATAACCTCTCAGATATAAAATGAGGGTCTTTCTCTGCCACTCCAACCTGAGGGGCAGAAATTGGGTACACGGAGACAGGAAGAAGGCCCCCTTTAGGCCTGCAACCTCTTTCCCAGGTCAAAGGGAAGTGACTGAGAAGAGCAGACATAGGCCAAGGAGTATCAAAAGGGGACCATGAGGTGGACAGGTAACCGAGCAGGGCTCCTCTCCCAGCCCACTTTGCACATTTGCAATGCAAACAATTTGACAAGATGATGCAAAATCCCCAAACTTTCTAGCCCATGGTGGGGGAACGGACCACCATGGGGTCCACAGTCCACACCTAAAATCCAGAGGCAGGAGCCGAGCCGTGAGGGGTGGGAGGGAGGAGGAGGGCCCACAGGATACTAGGTCACCTGCTCCGTAGGCCTCATCTGGATGTCTCCGATCTGTGGAAGGCACAAGGCGTCGGGCAGCCAGGACGTTCTGCCCACACCCTGGAGGCCTCCCTGCTTCCCTCCTCTGGGGATGGTCGCTCTTCCAGGGGATCGAGACCAGACTCACCTGGACATGTGGGGGGGTGCCAAGGACGTAGAGGACAGCCTCGGCCACATCCTCGGGTTTAAGACACTGAGAGCACCAGGGAAAAGGGTTGAGACAGGATAGGATGAACCCAAGTCCCCTCCCCCACCACTGAGGTCCTCTCTGGCACCCCCATCCCACCCCTCACCCCAGCCAAAGGGAGGCCTCACCTTCATGTGTTCATAGGCGGCAGCTGCTTTCTCAGGGTCCTTGTCGAACAGTTTGAAGGCGAATTGTGTCTCGACCACACCTGGAGAGATACACTGGCCAACAGAGAGGACCCGCTCAGGGGACGAGCTCTGCCAGGCCTAGGGGAGAGGTTGGGAGCGGGGCGGCCACAGGGCCCCACTTCACAGTGACGGCTGCTCTGTGTCCAGCAACTGCCTCCTCCCTCCAAAGCTGCCAGTGGCAATGACTACAGTGATACCCACCACCTCCACAGCCCATCCTGTTGGGTACATGTCTTACAAAACAGGGTCCCTTAAAACCCCATAATGTCAACTCCATTTCACAAATGAGACACGGAGAATGGAGCATGGGAGTTGTTCAGTGACTTGCCCAAGGTCATACAGCCCCCAAGAGCAGGGCCCAGGGTCCCAGTTTCCAGCAACTGAGCACCTGGCTTCCCACAATCCCTTGCTTTCCCTTCATCTTACTCTAGGGGTTCCCCTGGGACAGGTCCACTCATCTGGAAGTCTAAGTCTGGCCCTTGGCTCCCGGATCAGTGAAATGAGGAAGCTCAGGACCGGCAGGGCCATGCAGGGAGCAGCAGAGCCCAGGAGTCCTGTGCCCAGCTCACCCCCAGGAGTGCTTAGTGGCACACCCAGGCCAGGGTACACCCGAGCCAGAGCGTCCTGGCAGTATGTGTGAGCAGGAAGAGCTGCCTGCCCCAGCCCCTCACCGTGGCTCGGATGTGGGTCTGGGCCTCCCGAAGCTCTTGCCTCAGTCCCTCTGTCAGCGCGGTGACGGCGTACTTGGTGGCACTATAGAAATGGGCCACAGACTGGGGTAACACGCGGTGGCCAGACATGCTGAATAGTGGGAGGGAGGAAAGGAGAGAATGAAGCTCCACACAGAGCAGCAGGGCCCCTCCTTACCATTCAACCCCACCCCAGATGCCAACAGGGAAGCCTTCCCAAGGGCACCTCTGGTGGCCATCCATAGCCTTCTGATCTAGCTTACCATCAAGCCACCCCTGGGGACCCTCCTCCTCCTAGAGGTCCCTGCACTGACCAAGGAGCATAGTCTCCTGGGCATGCAAGATGTCAGAAATCTCTCAATTGTATCTGTGTGTTCAGTGAGATGGTTCTATGGGGAGATCTCTGGGACGGGCAGAGGCCATATTACCCCTGGGGTGGCAAAGACAGTGTGGTCTCTGTGCCACGAGGTAGGCTCTATCCCAAGGCCTGAGCCCAGGAGATCCCCAGGCTTTAGCTGCAGAGGAAAGGGGATGGGGATGAGCTGCCCATTCCAGCCAACCAGGATGTGCCACGTGGCGTTCTTTCCTCACCACGATCATGCCGTTTGGGTACTAGCTAAATCCCTACTTTACCAACGGGGAGGCTGGGTTCTGAAGAAGTCAAGTGAGCCGTAGCAGACCCCCGGCTTGGAGGGTGACTGCTCCGCCCGCCAGCCACCTGCCCTCACCTGTTGATGTTAATGATGTGCCCGTCGTCCACATTCCGCTCCTTCATGGACTGGTAGGCTTCCCGGGTGCAGATGCTGAGGGCCAGCACGTTCACCTGCGGGCCAGGGAGGGCAACGGCGTGTCTCCAGCCTGGGCCCAACTGAGCAGGTGATGGACGCCAACAAGGCGTCCTGGGCCTCTGTCAGTCTCTGGGAGGACCTGGATGCTTTTGGAATGTCATGCTAAATCACCCCAGTGCCCTTCCCCCTAAAGCTGCCACACCCTGCTGGCAGTAGAGGCAGATCCTCTCCTAGGGATCCCCCAAGTTCCTGCAAACAGGAATGGAAACCCTCCAAACCCATCCCAGACTCTGGTGACTCTGTCTTGGCAATTTCCAGGGCTGGTCCCAGGGCCTCGTGGTTAACAGGAATCCCACATGGCTGACAGCATGATGCATGCTAGAGAGGATTATGGCATGACCACGCCCTGTTTTGGGGTGGTTCCTCCCTCTCCCTGCTTCTGTCTCTCTGGCATGCACATGTACTCTCTGGCAATTAAAGTAATATAAAGATCTTCTGATAGGCCAGCAGGTGGTCTGGAGGTTAAGGCATCTGGACCCCACATGGCCAACTCTGCCATTAGAGTCCTAGACCCAGCACCTTGAAAATCAGGACAGGCATATGCGTGTGTGTTCCCAAAACAGAAAGAGTGGATAAGAAGAGATTGCAGTGTGGCCATCCCTCCTGGTGGTGGTGGTGGGGGGGGGGTCTCACTTTCCCTTTCTCTCTCTCTCTGTCTCCCGTGAGCACACACATACCCTGCAGCAAACAAACAAACAACAAAAAACTCTTGGGCCAGTTAGGTGGTATGGTGGTTAAGGGAGCTGGATCCCTCATGGTGACTATGTAGTTTGAGTCCTGGAGTTGGCAGCTTGAAAAACACACTGGGCACATGAACATGCATGCCCAAAAGCCAGACAGGGAATGAGTGGGTCACGGTGTGGTCATCCCTTCAGAGGGTGCTTTCTCTTTCTCTTTCCTGACCTATAGAAAAATTTTTTTTAAAAAAAGCTCTTTCTGTTTTAGCACACACCCTAGCCTCTCCCCCCACCTTCCTCAGCCCTTCCCTCTTCCTCCCCACCTCACCCTCCCTGAGCCTGCAAACGGAGAAGCCTGACCTTCCTTCCCGCCCCTTCTGCCCTCTTGTGAGCCATCAAAAGGCCCCGAGACACTTTAGATGGTGGGGTGACTTGCCACTCCTACTCCCTCTGGCAGAGGTGACCCCAAATCTCCCTCTTCATGGAACAGAGGCCTGGAGAAATATCTGCTATGAAGCACCAGTCCAGCCTTTAGCCTCGCCCATGAGGGCAGCAAGCAGAGATAAAGCTGTCAGCATGTCCTCCCGGCTCTCTCTCCTTTAAATTAGAAGTTTCTCTTTATCAGGTGTCAGAGCCAGGACGCTCACTGTGAACCTGCCCCCGAGTTCCTGGCAGGAGAAGAGATGTGTGCCAGGGCAGGGGACACTTCAGCGCTGGGTCTCGCCCTCTCAGCAGTGTGGTTTGTGAGCAGAGAACTCAGCTCCTGGGGCTAAGATGTCTCAGAGGATGATCCCCACAGGCTTAAAAAGGCCTTAGCGCTTTAACACCAGTCTCTCATTCCACACGTGGGAAGTGGAAGTCCAGGTTTAGAGACCCACTCGCTCTAAGTGAGGACCACTGATCTCCCAGAAGGCTCTCTGAGGGCAGGGCTTCGTTTTCACTGTTCAAGTCCAGGTACAGGTGGATTATGAGGAAAAAGAAATATCCCGTTTACATATTGCTTCCAACTTCTCACAATATTTTCGTGCCCTACAATCACCCCATCATACAGTCCAAAAGTTGACAGCCCACATCCGGGAAGCTGTGTTTGGATTGTACGTGGTTTTAAAACATTTAAATACCTTTCCAATATGTCCTGGAAAGTTTCACTCATTCAATCAATATTTGTCGAGTGCTTGTAGGCTGGAGCTCTACCAGAGAATAAGACACAAAAATCCTTGTTCTCATGGAGCTGACATTTTAGTGAATGGGGGAGGTGGGATGTCACATGAAAATGCAGACTCCCACTTTTCACAAAGAAACCGTAAGATCTGGCCACTCTGGGCCCACACTGCGGGGCAGCAGGCAGTTACACTGGGTCTGAGCAGTGGCCGCCCTGTCCGCGGCTGTGCGCTCTCACACATACTGCAGACCCCGCCTGACCTGCCTCACGCCTTCACGTACCTACCTGGCCCCAGGGGCCATTGGAGTTTGTAACTGCAGATATTGATGACATAGGTATGTTTATCCCAATTCAGTGTGGCCATGTGGAAGTGTGGAAGCCCAGAGAAGGTAACTAACCTGCCTGAAACCACAGTTACTGGCAGGGCTGGGCAAGAACATCATCTCCGGTCTCTGTTCCTTCCATAAGACAATGTCCCCAAGTACCCAGCATAGTGCTGACATGTGGGGGCATTCAGTGAAGAGCAGTTCTCTCCCCTACCAATCTTTCTTGCAACCCAAGAAGTCCAGCTAGTCTGTAAGAACCACCTCTGGGGCTCAAAGCAGAGGAGAGCTACAAAGACATGGCCCTTTCCCTGCTCCTCTCTGGCAGGGAAAACAGCCAAGGATGAGTCAAGATGCCTGAGGGAACCCACAGCTCTCTTCCTACCTGCCCTGTCCCCAGCAGCCCTCTGGTTCAGAGCCCTGGCTCCGCGCTCTCCTCCCAACCCCGCACACCAGGCCTGGAGCCCTTACGTTGAACATGTCTTTCCAACCGCTGGTGCTACCCGAGAGCAGGGTGTCCGGCCGGGCCAGGCCAGCATTGTTGATGCAGATGTCCACGCCGCTGTACTGAGAGCGGACAGCCGAGAACATGGAGAGGATGTCCTCCTCGTTGGACAGGTCACATCTGTAGGGGATCAAAGTCCCGGGGTAGCCTGCACTCTTACATTCGGCAGCCAGCTCCTAAGAAACCCAACAGGGGTCTAACTGGGGTGAGCTGCTCACGCCCACCCCTCCACACCCAGAGACAGACCTCCCTCCACTGGCACGCTCAGAGAACCTTCTCTTTGGCGGCTGCCTTTAGGCCGCATAGGCAGGGACTGCCCACCCCCAGAGCTTGTCCTCCCAGGGGGTGAGCGCACTCCCTGAGGGAGAGAGGAGAAAAGCTGAGAGCAACGGAGGAACCTCATAAACTCAAGTCTTCTGTTCTAAGAAGGAAAGAGGGGGGTCAGGGATCCTGGGAACGGAGTGATCCTTTCTTCATGACTCTTCCCCAACATGAACACCTCAGCCCACCTCAGGCTTCTTCCCCAGTGCCTGGGCTCACGGCGCTGGCTGCTCCAACTGCCCCAGAGAGCTCCACTCTGAGCTTTCACGCTGGCCTGGAGCTCACACCTACCCTTCAGCTGAGCCCAACTGCCAATCTCCCCCGTCTCTCTCTAGCGTAGATTCTTCCTCACCCTGATCCCGGTGCACCGCCCTCTACCCAAGGTTTATCTGGAGACTATGATGGCAGTCGGGTGGCACTGGGCACCTGGACATCTCCAGGGCCCTCAGCATACCAAGGAACCCTGAGAGGGTAAGACCTGAAAATGCAGAGCCAGAGATGGCTGCGAGGGAGCTGACATTCAGAAGCAGGAAGAAAATGAGCTATGTGGCACTGGAGGCCAGTGACAGGGCACTTGAGCCTGGCAAAGGTGACTGTACATGTGTGTGGGGGGGAGGGAGTGCATGGTGCCCTAGAAAAAGGCCGGCTTGGCCAGTTGCCCTGGCCTGGAGCCCCTTCCTTCTCCCAAACCCAGCTAGGAATAATGTGCTGGATCAGATGACCAGGGACATTCCTATCTGCTTTAACTTTCTGGGAGTTCAAGGGGTATAGCCCTCTGGGACTCCAAAACCCCCACTTCCCTAGATTTTTGCATACTTAGAAGAAAAATAAAACCTCAAGAAATGGAGTTTTCCTCTGGAGGAAGTCAAAACCCAAACTCTGCTTCAAGATCAGTGAATGTAGCAATCAATAAAAGCAGCCACAGGCAAGGAAGCCTGGGACGCTGCCCTCTTGGTATGCAACTTAGCCTTTCTCCTCCAGACTCAAAATCCCCCCACAGCGAAGCCAGAATAGAGGGACTGAGAATGGGCTCTTCCCTGTCACTGCCTCCTCCTGCTCCACCTGCGTCATCTGGACCATCTCCCACACCTACCCACAAAAATGCCCTGAAATCATGCCCGACCTCTCATGACATGGGGGTCACCCTGAGGCTGAGTGGTCAGCCTGGGTGTTTCCTTGGGGACCAGAGGTGCCCTCTCCTGGCTAGTTTGGAGTAGGCATAAGAAGAGAAGGCAAGAGTGGCTCCAGGATTAGGAAACCAGCTATCCATTCCCTGGCCTGATCCTCCAGGCTCCAAGGCTTGGGCTGGGCCCTGATCTCCTCAGAACAGGAGAAAGGGAGGGGCAGCATGGGGCAGCATGGGGCAGTGGCAGAGGCAGGTGACCTTGAGATTATCTGGAAGGTTATAAAGTGTACCTTTGGTCAGCAGCAGGGGAAGGGACACACCTCCTTCCTGTATACCTTCTCCCCCTGTCCCCACCCAAGGCCTCCTTACCCTTTCCCCACCTAGGGACTTTGAGCCATGGAGGAGATAACCCACAGCTAAGCACTAGCCCAGACCCTGAGAGTGATCTCACCAAAGCAATCCAAAGATCACCTGTGACAAACTTCTCTTGTGTCCCTCCCTGCTCCAAAATGGCCAGTTGCATTTCATTTTTCTCTGGACTCTTGTTGCCCATAACTGGGTGCTCTCAAGCCCAGGTTAGGGGAGAGACAGGAGTGTACTGCTCAGTGCCCAATCTCACCTACTCAGTCCCACCTGGGAGAATGAACTGGGTGTAACCCTCAGGTGGGGATGAAAGCTCTCTCACCCCAGTCCCATCCTCAGTTGGGTGAAAACTCAGAAGACCTCCTGCCCACCCTGCAGGCCGACCCCTCTGCCTGGTGTGGCTGAGGCGGGACGGAGCAGGCAGTACGGCAGCCAACC